AAAAATTCACAAAGCATTAATAAATATTTTTAATGCACTAAAAAGACATAGCTGTGCTCATAAACAGAAGCAGCATTCCTGTGGTCCAGAAAAGAAACAGAAGTACACAGCAGTGAGAAGGCTCAGACTTACTGGGCTTCCCAACAGGAAATTGCAGAAGCTATCAGGAATTCAAGTCAGGCAGGGTAATGGGACCTTGGAAAGAGAAAGGAGCCAGGGTCACTGTGTGAAATGGGAGGTGAGAAGGACTCCCCTGGTGGTGAAAAGAGAGGAGAATAGAGCTGCAACCCCTGCTCTGAACTCCCCCAGCACCCAGCTGCTGTCCAGGTGGCAGGAGGAAGCATGGGCAGTCAGACGACCATGCACTGAGCTAGGATGCCCACTGGCTCACAATTAGAAGTTGCAGGAGATCCTGAAGTCACTAATGGGAGACCTTATTTACAACAGGGGACCCAGGTAGGTCACATAAAGGCTATCACATCACCCAACAGGGAGACATGAGATCTGGGAAACAGGACGGACACACACACACACACAAATATACACACACACCTCCAACTCAAGAAGAGCTTGCACACTCAAATTTAGAATGCAATGTGGCCACAGACAGTAACTTTGAAAATATGATCCAACAGTTTCACTTCAAGCCATACGCCCTAGAGAAAATTTTGCACACGCGCACGAGGAGATATAGATAAATATGCTCACTGTACCTTCGTTTATAAAAATAACAATTGCAAATGACCTAAATATCCATCAATAGGGAATGACTAAACAAAATATGGTATATTAATACAATAGATTACCACATAGAAGTTAACATGATTAAATATTTTTCTATATTAACAGAGATCTCAAAAGCATAGTAAGAAGTATATGAGTAAAAAGTAGTTTTCATAACAATACATATAGCATATAATTTATGTACATAAATGATATATATTGTCTGCTGATTCATTAATGTATTGTTAAAAAAACCCATGAAAGATACACACCCATTTCATGACAAAAATTGCCATTGGGAAGAGGCGTTTGATGTGCTTGGAAGTGAACAAAGAGATTTCAACTGTATAATGTTCCATTACTTTTCTTTTAAAAATTGGGAGAAAATGTGAAAATATGCTACATTTGGCAATTTTGAGGAGCAGGTAGTTGGTACACAGGTGCTTTCTATATTTGTATTTTTTAGTTCTTTCAAAACTTTTCAGAAAAAATTAAGTGGAGGGGGTAACATTGGGAAGTGTGTGAGAAAGGAATTCCAGCTTTTCCTCTGTCATTTCTATAACAGGATGTTGAATGAATGTAACTGCTACTTTAGAATCCATAGTTTAGGCCTCAACCTGAGCACTGAGAGGAGTTAACCACTTTCTAAAGCGAACACTCAACTTTGAAGAGCAAGAGGACTCCTGTAGGACACACAGGAGAGGCAGAACCAGCCCCCCCTCAATCTGCTGCTCATCTCCACCCAGCGGATGAGCAGAGAAGCTTGGGGAAGTAACGGAAAGCCTAGAAGAAGTGCTATGGCTGTCCCTTCTCTTTTCCTTCAAACTTCCTCACCCAGGCAAATGGATGGTGGCTTCAAAAGAATCACCTTAAAGACTGGGAGAATCTATATAAAGTGGCAACTAGCATCTAAATCCAGCCTTATCACTGAACGTGCAGATTGACACTGGGCCAATCTCAAGTGTGGCTCCCCAAGGCTCAGTCATACCTCCACGAAGTCTTCTTTACAGCAAAGTAGCGTTTGTCTACAATGCAGTGTTTGGCTATGTGCAAATCACTAGACTAGGTGACACGTTTTTGTGAACAAAAGTCAATTTGGTCACAACTCTTAAGTTCTTTTTGGTAAGTCACAGAAGCCATCAAAGAAGTATGGGGTGGAGAGGGCTAACTAGTTACCACCTCACTACTAGGCTGTAATGAAACAAAGGCTCAGACCCAGTTATGCCAGATGGAGAGGGATTGGACAAACATCCAGGAGCATAGCAGGCACAAACTAATCACAGGATCTACTCTGTAACTCAGGGAAGTCTCAGCATCCTTTAGGTTCCCATCTCCATGTGATATTCCCTGAGGCACAGCACAGACCTTAAGCAGGATTTTATTTCCTCTCATCAGATTGATGCAGCACAGTGAATGTAGTCAATAATATTATAATAACTTTGTATGGTATGTAATCTATAAAAATATCAAATCACTGTGGTGTACACCTGAAACTAATATAATATTGTAAGTCAACTATACTTTGATCAAAAAAAAAAAAAAAAAGAATCATGCCATCAGAAATCCTCCTAACCAAGTGGTTCTCATCTGGGGCGATTTTGCCCCCTAGGGGACATTGGCAGTGTCTGGAGGCAGTTTTCTTTGTTACAAGGAGGGGAGCGCACTACTGACACCTAGTACACAGAGGCCAGAGATGATGTTAAATATCCTACAATACACAGGACAGCCCACAAAACAAGGAATTACCCAGCCAAAAACATTAGTAATGCTGAGGTTGAGGAACCCTGTCCCAAGTCAATGGCTGGACACAGAAACAATTAGGGATGAAGCCTCTGGTACCATCTCAAAGGGAACAAGGTATGAACCTTGCCAGATTCTGAAACTCTATTCATGCAAGAATGGAGACAGTGTCTTTAAAGTATTTTAGCCAACCTACATATATAGAATACTTTTAATTTCACCAACAGCCTCCCTCTTCCAGCATTTATCATGCTAGTTAACAAGTCATTAGTTTCACCAATTAATAAAATTTTGACATCCAGTATGCTAATTAGCTATGATTAAGCTATAGATAGCAGAAGGCACAGGATAGACTTAGGAAGTAGCAAATATTTCAATTCAGCCAAGATGGCAGGCCCTAGTAGGGAGTTCTCAGTATATAAGGCTGGCAAAGCAGGCTAGAACAAGAAAAGAGACCTTTAAATGTCCTCTGGGTCACTTTTATACAAATTCTCCACGGAGGTAATGAGTGTACAGTAAGCATTAAGCATGAAGCACTGCTAACTCGCCCTTTGCTGCTCATATGGATGGATTAGAAATGCCAGCAGTCAACAGGCACATTTTGCCCCACGCTGTCCTCCTGACTGGAACCTGGAGATACCTCACCTACTTTTATAGAGCTGAGTGATTCATTTCCTAAGTACTTATGAGATATTCTGCTCTTCACTTACCAAATCCTGCCCAAAGGATTTCAGGGAACAGTACATTTTCTAAATCACTAAAAATTCTATACATTCTCTTACAGAGCTTCTCTACTACTGCTCAAAAGTGGGGGGAAAAAAACCTTACAAACTTCAGCAAACATTCAGTCTTACCTATCCCCCAAAGGAAAAAGAGACAAAATACATATTTATGCATTTAGACATGTGGGATTTGCATCATAGATATGTGTGTTAAATATAATACATTTCAGCTTCTTTTCCTAAGCTGATAAAAAGGGACCAAAGCTGGTTATGAAATAAGGTTATTTAATCAGAGTGGGAAACTCAAGATAGAAGCCATGGAAGTGTGGGATGGAGAAATTTACCTAAGTATACGGTTGTCGAAGTTGGAAAAGAAATACGCTCCATGTAAAAGTTGAAAAAATTGATTTATATTTAGTAATCATAAGAATTATCAGAACTTTCTAGCACATAAATCTGCTAATCACTGTGTAGACAAGGGCTATAAATCATATTTAGTAACTTGGTAGATGAGATTTAAATCATTTTGTCTTCATTCAAACATACATCAGTGGGGAAAAACAAAAAACCTTGTACTATATTATTATTCTCTGTAAGAATGAGAAATGGTATCAGTTCTTTGTTTTTAAAAAATATATCAAAACCCAGAACACACAGAGGTCATAAAAGCCTTTTCGAAAGTCATTATTCATAAACAGTATGAAAAGTTTAGTCAGCTACCATCAAAATGATTACGCAATTCAAAGAGTTTACTAATGAATAATACACCAAATGATCAAATACATATTATGTGCTTTACAAATATTAATCGATGAGGCTACTTTATAGTATCCACTAATGAATAAATAAATTCTGATCATTCAATTATGATAATCTCAATGACCGAACAAAATGGATGGCATCTAAAAAAACGGGAGAGTTTCTTCAGAGAGCACAATTTTTTTTCAAAGAATATTTATTTAACATATAGGTAGCACTGACATCCTGGGACCTTCACAAATATTGACTTATCCAGTCTTCATAATAATTTGATGACATAAATCACCATTATGATTCCCTTTTTACAGATGAAGAGACCAGGTTTAAATAATTTGCCTCAGGTCACAGCAAAAGGCTGTCACAAATCTCCAAGAAGCGCTAAGTAGCTGAGATTTATAGAAAATGTTTAAGTCAACTGTGTTTACAGTAAGAACACAATAGGTCTTGAATCTATTGGAGAAGATGGTTTACAGATTACATAGAAAAACTATTACTTCATTCCAGTGTGGCTTTATCTTTGCCACCTGAAAAGGATAGAACTAACATCAGTCATCAGTAGGGAATCAAAGACCTACATGTAAAGTAAGCTGGAAAGGAAGCACCTAATGCTAAATGAATTTAGGTCTCTGCACACAAAGTAACTACACTTCAGCAGACTAAAGTAGCATGCAGTTATGATTATGATAAACTTTGAGCAATCACGAAGAGCAAGACATGAAGAATAAAACTGGATGTAAGTAGATTTCCCGGTTTTCAAAAATGAAGAAAAAGTTCTATTGCATGTAACCCTGGCAAAATGTTAGCAGGGATTAGTAAACAGAAGTTCGTGAGCACTTGGAAAGGACACAGTGATTGCCAGAAGTCAGCATGAGTTTACTAAGGAAAAGACATGGCAAACTAACCTCATTCCTGTTAGGATCAGGTAAAAGAGGTAGCAGGTCTTCGGCATCCATGATTGCTATTCATGTCTCTTTGACAGAGACAGGAATGGCTCAACAAAGAAGAGTGATTAATTTAAGGGCATGTCTTGAGCGAACAACAAGGAAACTTACTTACCTGTATTCCTGATTGGAAGACCAAGATTTCTAAACTGGGTCGGATTGCTTGAAAATTTCTTCCCCCACATGCAAGCCTCCAAACAGCCAAACCTGACATTGTAGCCAACAAAAGAAAAAAAGAAAAAAAATTCAAGATTAGGTGGGTGAGGAGAGGGACAAAAGATAATATATGGTATAGTCAGCACAAGGAAAGCTATAGGCTCCAAACACAGCTCAAGAATCTGTGGACCAACTGAGAGGGTGATATTCTGTAAAACGAAAGCTAGTAAAATCAACTTAATAAGTGACAGCAGTCATCTACAAAAGAACTTCATCCAAATCTGTTTGCAAATGTGTTTCTCAAAACTCTAAAAAGATTCCCAAACCTAAGAGGCCAAAATGTCTCAAGCATAATCAAGATTACCTGCTGATATCACTAATGGAAAGAAAGAGGTAATCAAATTGAATTTATTGTCATCTGACTGAGGAAATTATGTAAGCCACCTGGCATCAAGCGAAAGAAGAGCCAAAGAACAAGAATTTGGCTGGGTTTATCCAACATGGTCCAAAATACAGTGATGGCTCTGATGGCAATTTCTGGTTAATATTTTGATGAGCCTCCCTCTAGTCTTTTTGTAAAACATACTGAAGGAATTACATACATTTATCTTTTAGCCTAGCATAATAACATTTCCCCATATTATTAAACGCTGCTCAGAAACAGAATCTCAACGGCATCACAATATTCCTTAATATGGAGATAATATAATTTACTTAACTACTGCCTTATTTCTTAGTTTAAATTTTTTTTTTCATGATTTTCAATATTTTGCAAAACTGAAAAATCTTCGTTCTGCTTTGAATTATTTTCTCAAGACAGATTCTGGAAATAGAATGACAGGGCCAAAGAATATTAACATTTAAAAGCTCTTGACACATATTCCTAAATTGCTTTCCTCTGCTCTCTCATCAATATTAGTCTTCAAAACAATTAAATCTTTAATAGTTTAGAAGGTGAAATTACACCTCATTTTAATTCACATTTCTTAATGAAGCTGAACATTTTCCCATATGTTTATTTGCCATTTGATTTCCCTCTTTTGTGAATTGTGTGTTCATGCCTTCTGTCCCACTAGTTTTAGTAATTTTTCTTATGATTCTGAAAGAGCTCTATTTGGTAAAGAAATTAAGCTTTTCTTTGTCATATATTGCCAATTTTTTTTACCAGTTTTTCCTTTTAATTTCCTTTTAATATTATTTCTTAATGTTTTACATCTCTGAATAATCAAAATATTTTTCTTTTGCTCTGGTATTTCTTCGATCACTTTTTAATTTAAAAGCCTTCTTCACACTTAGATTTAAAATATTCTATTTGAATCGAGATTTCATTATGGTTTTATTAATAACGCTTAACTAACATAGGACATAGTTTGAAGTATAACCTGAAATATGGATGGATAATTAAGAGGGAACTCGAAACCTGGAGCTTCTGGCTGAAGAGCGAAGGGTTCATACCCCCCATGGGACACCCAACTATGAAGACCTGCACCTGGAGACTAAACCCCAAAACCTCTAGCTTTGAAGACCAACATGGCCCACACCCACGAGACCCCGCGAGGCTGGGACAAAATGAGAAACGACTCTGAACAGGGCTGGCGCTTTAACTCACCCACTCACTCCAGGGCCTTCCGCTGACGCAGTCCCTTGAAAAGTGCCTAGACTTTCTGTGAAAGAAAGTCATTTGCTAATTTTAAAGCAGTGGTCTGAAGGGCAGCAGCCAGCTGGGCTGCTCTCCGGGGCCGGAGGCTGGTGGGCGCCATCTTCCCGCCCTCCAGTAGCGCTGCTCCAGCCTGCAGGCACCATCTTTTTTTTTTTCTTTTCTCAGAGAGTAACATCTTTGAGCTCTCCTCTTTCGCGCACAGTGTGCCAATATCTCCCGGAAGGGAGCTTCTACACATGTCTTCTGGGTGGCCCAGTTCGTACATCTACTGACCCCGTCTTTGCAACCGCTGCCCCTTGAACTCCGGGCTCTGGTGGGCAGGAGTCCTGCACTCCTGGCTCCCACAGAACTGGAAGCACGGGAGACGGATCTTGGCAGCCGCCCCTCGCCCTCAGGGCACAGCCAGACAGCAACTGAAAGACATCCCCTTCTTTCAGAGAAAGAGGCCTATTTGTTTGTCCTGGGGCCTCGGCCGGAGAGGCCACTGAGTTCTGGCGCCGGTGCGGAGGCTTCCGAGGAGCGCACTCTCAGGGTTCTAGTAGCCGCCATCTTTACTCTCGCGCTGCGCGCCCAGAGCCCGCGATAACTCGCACGCGGGAGCCTTGATGCTCGTCTGAGGCCCGATTCTTACCTCTGTGCACAGGCGTCAGCTCCTGATGGCCTGGCTCTGGGGTCTTCTGCATGTTGTCGACTGAAAAAAAATGCACAACCTAAAAGTTGAGAATTTTGTTTCATTTGGCGGACTTTCTGAAGACTTAAGCCTGGGAGGCAGCCTCGCAGGTTGCTCTCACCCACTGCTCTGAAGAGGTAAGGGAGGAGCTGGGATATATTGGGGTTTTTGCAACAAAGACCAGGTAGTCTGAACATCGAAAGATTACTGTTAATTAAAGAAAACCAGATATCTCAGATTAATGATTTTAGTGCTTTTTCTCTATGGGAAGATACAAGAGTATGGGAAGATACAAGATGGGAAGATGAAAGAGTCTGGGTTCATTGAAATCATTCCTTTGATGTGCACCTTAACTATCTAGGGCGAGTACCCTGGTCTTTCCCATCCTGAGGCCCTCAGGGTGCACTACTGGAGGCGACTGCAGTGGCTGAGGGCTTGGTGGCAGGCAGCCTGTTGGTCTCCATCCTGAGTCCCCTCAGGGCTCACCATCCGGTGGCTGCAGTGGCTCAGGGCTTAGTGGCCGCAGCATCCTTTGTTTGCTGACTTGGCAAGTGGCATTCTTTGTCCACAGTGGGTCTCACAGCACTGTGCATATGTGCACTCTTTAAAAGCTCTTGCCTGAGGCTCAGGCTTTCTATCAGCCCAAATCCAGGTGTGGACTGAAATCCTCCCCTTTGGGACACTGCCAGGTCTCGGCACAGCCTCAACACCTGGGAGCCATTAAAAATAAAATTGGCAGCTGGGACAGTCACAAAGGTTTGAGAGACACCCAAGAGCTACTAGGGCAGGATTGAATGGTAAGGTTCATCCACGTGATGAACCACCTCTCCTTTAAGACTGCGAGAGGTGGCTGTTTCATCTAATGCACAGAAACGGACACAGAGCGGCAAGCAAAATGAGGAAACAGAAGACTATGTTCCAAATGAAAGAGCAAAATAAAAACCTGGGGGGGGGCGGGAAATGTTAATGAAACAGAGATAAGTAATTTACCTGATAAAAAGTTCTAAACTAATTTACATTCTCAGTTGAGAAGACAGAGACTGAGTCAAATTAAAGTGAAGATTCACTGTCTTCCATAGCATTGATGGCTTTATTCAAAAGATCAAAGGTATGTTTTCAAAACTTAAAAAAAAATGGTTCTGAAGAACCTAGGGGCAGGACAGGAATAAAGACGTAGACGTAGAGAATGGACTTGAGGACACGGCTGGGGGTGGGGAGGGTAAGCTGGGATGAAGTGAGAGAGCAGCATGGACATATATACACTACCAAATGTAAAATAGATGGCTAGTGGGAAGCAGCCGCATGGCACAGGGAGATCAGCTCAGTGCTTTGTGACCACCTAGAGGGGTGGGATAGGGAGGGTGGGAGGGAGGCTCAAGAGGGAGGGGATATGGGGATATATGTATACATATAGCTGATTCACTTTGTTATACAGCAGAAACTAACACAACATTGTAAAGCAATTATACTCCAATAAAGATGTTTAAAAAAAAAACGATCTGAATTCGTTTTTTCCACTTTCTTGTATTGCTAATTAGGTGTGTGGAACTAAAATGTACTGAATAAATCCTCCCTACTGTTAAGTCATATGGACCCTGCTCAGGCCCTACCCTGGCAGAGGCTCTGTGCCTCGGTGGCGGAGTGTTCTTTTTTCATTCGGGTTCAAGCAGGCAAATAAGGAAACTGAAGCTGAGATTGACACAGCACAAGCTTTATTCAGTGGCCAAAGAATGGAGAAGCGGGAACTAACTTCACAGATCAACTTCTCGCCCACCTGGCGTGAGGGATTTAATTTTAAAGAGTGAGGACAAAGTGGGGAGGAATGAGGCTAATGCTGGGGAGGCATACGCATTAGTCTACCGGGGAAGGGGCAGGGCTTTTTTCGAGGGAGTGGTGTGCAGTCCTGTTTTTATTCTTTTTGATCCTTAACATCTGGTCATGGCTGCAGGTAGGTGTGTCCTTTAATACGTTAATGTAGTAAAATCAACGTATAATGAGACTCGAGGTCTGCTGGAGGTCAGATTCCTCACCATCTAGGTCCCAGATGATTCCATCTGGGTTTTTGTTTGTTTGTAGCTTCCTGTCTTAACTCTGGACCCCTTACCATAAAGATTTATGTTAACTCTTGCTAAAGGTGGAGGTTGGAGGGTTTTGAGCGAAGACCTGGAGCAGCTCTGACTACACTACCTTTCTTATTTATGATGCTTCCTTTAAAATATATTAAATTATTTTATGCAACAAAGTCTATTTGGGGCTAGCTACTCTTTTCCATCAAGCTATCAACCTATTTAATACCAGTATTACAGTTTTAATTATTATAGCATTTTAATAAAATATAAGTATGGCTATAATCTCTCCACTTTCAAAAATTTTGTCTATTTTCTTCAGTTTGTTCCTTTAACCTTTGAAATAACTTCTTCAGGTTCAAAAAAATCCCAATGAAATTTTAATCGTAATCTGTTTCATAAAGGGTCATCACTGAAACACCAATATTCCATGACTAATACATAGAAATATAGCAATAATACTCAGTGCTCTTCCTGAAACCATCAAATAACCGTGGTTTTGAGCTTTTGCTGGATAAAAACTTTTTTTTTAAACATCTTTATTGGGGTATAATTGCTTTACAATGGTGTGTTAGTTTCTGCTTTATAACAAAGTGAATCAGTTATACATATACATATGTTCCCATATGTCTTCCCTCTTGCGTCTCCCTCCCTCCCACTCTCCCCATCCCACCCCTCCAGGCTGTCACAAAGCACCGAGCTAATATCCCTGTGCCTTGCGGCTGCTTCCCCCTAGCTATCTACCTTACTACGTTTGTTAGTGTGTATATGTCCATGACTCTCTCTCGCCCTGTCAAAGCTCACCCTTCCCCCTCCCCATATCCTCAAGTCCGTTCTGCAGTAGGTGGATAAAAACTTTTGATTATGAATTAGTTTCATAAATGCCTTGATGTTGGTAAAATGGTGCCCTAAAAAGATATAAGTGTTCTTTCTAAAAACGTATCTTGCCTATTAAAATAAACACATAAACATTCTAGCATCAAAATATTGTCTTTTTAGGGGCTTCCCTGGTGGCGCAGTGGTTGGGAGTCCACCTGCCAGTGCGGGGGACGCGGCTTCGTGCCCCGGTCCGGGAGGGTCCCGCATGTCGCGGAGCGGCTGGGCCTGTGGGCCATGGCCGCTGGGCCTGCGCGTCCGGAGCCTGTGCTCCGCAACGGGAGAGGCCGCAGCGGTGAGAGGCCCGCGTACCGCAAAAAAAAAAAAAAAATTGTCTTTTTACAAAGTAACAAAGAATTGCATATATTGTGTTTTTTAACTGAAAAGCTGAAAAGCTGAGAATCAGAACCTAGATCAGTGTTGATCCCACCAATATTCTGAATCCTCATAAGTATTGACTAAAGCGGTTACCTATACTGTGTCAGTTTCTTGAGTAGAAGAACCAAAAGATTGAAAGGAATATTGAATGTCAACTCATGGTTTACAACTATTGTTGAAGCCCCTTGACAATATCCCTACCAAGTAGTATTCAGATTATGCTTAAATATTTTCAATAATAGGGAGCTCACTATCTCCTGAGGTAGTCAGTTTCACCTTTAGAAAGCTCTGATTTTTCAGGAGTTATTACATAGAATGACATTAATCTCCCTGTAACATCCCAGGGGCAGAAGTCTTAATCTCTATGCTACCTGAAAATCCATATATTTAAAGACAGTTATCATATAACCCTTGAATCTTTTCTTCTCCAGGCTAAGCATATTCAGTACTCCCCCAAATGTCTCATCAATAAAGATGCCTCTGATCTCCTTACCATCAATTTATCTGGCAATCCCAAATAGTTTCTCTAATTTGAATGTGGCAGGAGAATAGGGGGTGGGGGAGTCTTGATTTTCAGAATCGCCCTTAAAATGCAGTACCAGAACTGACCACAAGAAAGCAGTTAAATTAGAAAGGCCCTTCTACTTAACTCAAAGAAAAGATTCACTAAAATAAAACAGTGCAAAAAATGTTAAATTGGACTGTTTGTTGTTGTGGCTGTGGAGTTGGTGACTAGAACTCAGATTCAGAAACAAGTGGCTTCAAGTGTCCCACATTCTAGAGTTACCAAAAATAAGTGTCTGACACCAAGCCTGCCTCAACCTTTGGGGAATACAACCAGATGGGCTGCGAAAGAGTTAAAAGCTCAAGCAAGACCTGGATCTCCCTCATGAAGAAATTGTGATTGCGGGGGCCATGGTCCTCTCTGAGGAAACAATACACGGTCCCCACCAAAAAAACAGCTTGTGGAACACCTTGCACTTATACCTGGCAAAACCAATAGGGAGGAGGTCCTATGACCAATGAAGAGGCATCCTTACTAGGCAGGAAAAAAGACATTTCCCCTTCTTTCTATTCTTCTCCCTTCACCTATACCTGAGCTTTTGTAGCCTAGAAAAGGGATACAGAGGTCTCCCTCTGTCCCTAATACAGACCACGCTACCTGTCACCCTCCCATCTGATGCTGGAGCGTGAGGAGGAGTGAATGAGCAGACCACACCCCATTCCCACATCAGCCTTTGGAACCATAGGTGAAGCCTGCACTGCGGGAGGTTAGGAAGGGGAGATTTAGACAGAACTGAGGTTGAAGATTTTAATTGCAAAAGAAGACTGGAAAGTTATAGAATCTGCCTAGGATATCATCAAGTGACGGGGAAAGAGGTTCGGTGGAGCATAGATGAGGTCAATGATAGAACAAAACAAAACCAACTTGTATTTATACCCTAAAAGGGACGGGGCTGGGGGGGAACAATTTCTCAATAAGCCAGTTATAAAGCCACATCTTCCTATTTTGCTTTGATATTTTGAGGTCAATATAGGAAAATACTAAGAATGATTAGGACTATTTTCAAATGGTTACAAGAAATTCATTTTCCCCTATACAATCCTTGAAATTAACTAGATTTCTATTGTGTTCCAAGATACCATTTAACCAGGCCCCAACCAAACACCTGAAGTTTGAAATGGCATCTGTAAAGTTCC